TGAAAATTTACCACACAACTTGAAGGCATTAAAAGAACTAGATATATTATAGAGGTGAGAGCAGCAGTGGTCGAGTGGTAACGGCCCCAACTTAGAAGTGGTAGGTCGCGGGTTTAAACCCGATCTGGCGCATTACATTTCGTCACCACTGCTCTCAAGACGGTGAAGGAAAACATCGTGAGGAAACCCGCAAGTCCAAGAACAAACATGCGAGGTAGATTATAGCCCAAGCCCTCTGCTAGAGAGGACGCTGTGTCCCAGCAGGGGCCACATTAGAAGGCTGATGATGAGTGATATAGACTAACCCTCGGTTTCGAAAAGGCCGATCAATGTTAAAATCAATTTAATCTCTTGTCAAGTCATCTGATTGGTTGACTGAATTACCAACAACCAATCAGATGACTTGGCAAGAGATTTAACAGGAGACTACTTAATTTTAGCGTTGACAAGCCTTTCAAAAACCGGGTGTAAGTTATAATGTCTGCGTGCGTGCGTACATCCGTCCACAAACAATATATTCATTCAAATCACTAACAGACCCCAAAGCAACTTCTAATAATAGGAAAAATATTTAATGGATTCTTCTCAGATTACTTACAAAATCCTAAAAACATTCGCGGCCTGTAAAAACAACTGTTATGGCTCAATGTTTTGAGGCGATTTGTCTCTGAATGGTACTTAAGGCCCGTCCGAATGTCTTTTATGAATTTTTAAAGACACCAGTTATAAGATTATGGGGATATTTAAATCTTTGGAACATTAATGGGTTTGTTTTAAAACTTGTAGTCATTTTAATATTATAACTTGTGTAAAAAAGAACTGGTTAATTATGTGTCATTTTCCCTAAATCTCTTTAGTCGGGTAAGCGTATAAATGTGTAGGTGAATGCGAAAATAATTATTCCCATTTATCAAATTCGTTTCCGACACATTTTATTGCTTCAAAATCGCTATTGAATGGGTTTTGAATAGAAATATCAATTGCTGTTTTGTTTTATGCAGGATTATGTTTACTGATGACTGTATTTGAACAAGCTTATCTTTAGAACTGTCTGTTTTTGCTATCTTAAAGAGAATACATAGGATGTATATATTTTATAGTGACGAAAGAGAGCGTTTTGATATAAATTTTCATTAGCACATTTTTAAACATGTAGCATAAGTAGCGATTATGATTTCTATTCAACACCTAAGTGAAACATTGATAACATTACACGCCAACTTGTCATTGCAACTATTCCTTCGCCTTATAAAATGTTCTGAAACATGAAGAAAATTTTCCCAACCAGATATGCAATAGAATTTTCCCTCTAATGAGGAAAAACGCAACTTACAGAATCTTTGAAAGTATTTAGTAAAGTGTAACACTAAAATCAACTCTGAACGACACTTTTAATTTTCTTCGTGAACAAGTTCGTTTGATATTACGTGGCGGTGTGTTGGGCAGTTTCCTAAAGCAATAACAACTCAGCTACGACGTCCGGCCACCATTAACTAAAGCATTATCTCGTTGCTGCTCTTTTCAAATATTTGGACATTTTATTAGGAGCTGGGCGCCCGAGTCCGTGGTTCGTAAAAGATAAAATGATAAAATCGTGTCATTTCGTCCGAGACATGATTCAATTTGATAAACACGTCACTGGATCTAGAAGCTGTTCTCGTGTTTGATATTGTTCTTTTTTTGGATTTGATTTTTTTTTATCCTTGATGATTGACCTACTTAGATAATTTTGGTTGTTATAGATTTTTTCTTTTATTTAAATAAAACGTTGCCCTACACTAGGATTTTCTCCGGTGCGTCGTGGACGCGTTATCAAACACAACACTTCAAATACACATATGCGATATGTATATCACAAACCCGGAAAATCAATTTGTGGATCACACAAACAACTGAATTGCACATTAAACTGTGCTGTCACTTAAAAACTAATTTTATCAGTGAACCTTTTCCTTAAAATTCTTTATAGAAACCGGCTATTAATTATATATAATTGTAGATAATTGAATGGTATCAAAACAGCATATAATATCCTACCCAAAAAAATACATAATCAAAGGTTATACTAATTAAGGATTGATTTTAAATAAACATATCTTAGAAATATTCAGTTAAACCACTTTTCTTGTTTTATAGTCTTCTGAATTGACTTCATGCGTAGTTTTTAAGTAAATGTTTTTAGACTTGATTAAACGTTTTCATTGGTTAACGTCATGTGAGATTGTGAGATTACTGGGAACCCTATTTACCCCGATTATCTACAATTCCTCCATTTGGTCCCTCAAATGTTAGCCCCCACTAACAAATAAAAAAACAAGGGATGAAAGCTACCCACATTTTCATCATAAATCGCAATGATGGCAATTATAAATTGGACGAAAAGGAACATAATCAACATGATCAAACCGAAGCATGCATATGCATATAAAGTAGGCACGGCTTATATAAAAAAAAACCATTTAACACGTAAAGGAATCCAATTATGGCGAATAACGCAGCCCGTCCGTAACACACTTACCGCCTGTACTTACATATGAGAAATTGGTTAAATATGACTTTGTTTAAAAAATGCTTCGTAAATAATAGACCTATTAAATTAATTATTCAGGTTAATCCGCCTTAACGAAAAAAGCGATGGGTAAACGACCTTCATTCATTCGTCACATCATATTAGCAGTAAAGCTCAAATCGCGGATTTATTTCATCAAATGTATAATTTTAAAATGTTTTTTTTTTATTATTTAAAAAAAACATTGCTCCACATTTCTTTTGTGTCGTGGGTGTTACAAACATACAATGCCACAAACACATGACACCCAGACCCGAAAAAACTATTTGTGAATAAACTATAAGGTTAGGTGGGTTAAAAGCCTAACCTTTCCCTGCTTCTTTGTCCTGAATGCCCTAATCCACAAATTCTCGAATCCTTTAGGTCTTTTGTGGATTATTACTAAATACCAGAAAGATACTTGCGCTTCTCGCAGCCCTGTCCTTTAAGAAGTAAATGTACAGAAAGGGAACCTACAATATTATACTTATAAAACGATAAGTACAAAAATGTACCTAAATTTTAATTCGAATATAAAGTTTTAAAAACAGGCACCTATTTCACTACCTTCCTACAAGATCCCTTAAAATTAATGGGTATACTTATTACAACCTGCCACTCTCATCTCTCCATCACCTAAAGGTCGACTGTTAGACAATGCCTAAGGGATTAAGTCCGCCTGTAAATGTTTTTGCATCAATTTATATAATATAATTATAAATAATATGAATTACATTCTTCATAAATATGTTTCTACCATAGCGGCTACACAGACATTGTGAAACAGGCCCTGAATGAATTACATTATATGTATACTTATGTATTATTTAATAATACTTCAAAACCTTTCAAAAGGCAACGCTATTGTTCAAACATTGCATAATACACACAAAACTGAATTTCTTTTTAAGTATTGCAAACAAAGAGATTATAATTGCAGAGCAAATGAAAATGCATGCACATTGCACGTTCACCCGATTAAAAACAGGAAAAATCTTCAAACAAAACATGAGCGGAAATTTTTTCAATTATACAAACTGCAGACAACAATTAACCGGATTAGCACTATCTTGTTACAAACTTGCTACACATGTACAGAACAAGGCAGCTGTTAAAACAAACTTATAATTATTTACCACTTCTGGCAAAGCAATTGTAAAACAAAGGCGGCCACCGAACACTACAAGTACCTATTGTTCTTGGCAACAGTTTTCACCTGTAATTAAAGTTTGCGGCTCGGATTATATTGGTTGTGATTGCAGGCAACTACTTAATTACAGAACAGGGCAATCCCGGGGGAGGCGATTGGATCACGAGCGCCTCCTAAGATTTACTGCTCTTGACCTCACTTGATCTTCACCGACTAGTAATTATAACATCCATTACAATCACTCTAACTATTACTAAGTTTAATACGGCTTGTTTGATTGTTAGTCAACTGTTCGCAAGTAAAACTGTCCAACAACATTTCTTGGGCTTGATTCAGGATCAGATAAAGTGTGATTGTGGAACTTATTGTTGTAAATTTAGAATTAAATTTCCTAAAAACGCAAAATACTCTGGAACTTAGTTGGCATGCATTTTATCTGCAATAGGCTGAGCAATGGGCCATTAATATTGTCTGAAATAGGAGGCTAGGTCGCATGAGATTTATGGTTGAAAGTAGCCAAGAGAGAACCAAGCTTCGGCTCTAACGGATCGAACCGACCGGAGTGAAACCACGGCCTTACAAAAAAACAGCGTAAACAACCATAGAGGTTTTTTTCGGGGTGTGAGTAAGGCTACCGGAGGCCTACCCCTTCCCCTCATTCTTGGCCCCTAATCTCCAAAACTCGTACTCGTAACTACTCTGGTGTAGCGAGTGTATAATGGCGGCGCCGATACTTCTACCAATCCTTTCAAGTACATGTACAACTAAACGGAGTTATTTTCCTCTGCTGAGGATCGCAAATCCTCACGATTGATGGCTACGAAAGTAGCACACAGTAATATTTGTCATGGCGTTTGTTCGGTAATTTCAGAGACTTCTAAACTAATTATACATTCGTTCGTCGTCTCCACGTCTCGCGCGCCTCCACTGGAAAATTGGAATTTTATACTGTCGTTTTTCTGACAGGATATTAAAATGTGCACCAAAAATTTAAAATTGAAATTGTTAATTTTCTTTAACGTGTTTTATTGATATTGTTTTCGTGTGGAACATTCCTCTTGTATAATTTAATGTCATCACAAATAAAAGGCCGTTATACACACTAGATGTTTTTAATGTTTAAAATTTCATTTTTAAGAAGCAAGTGCCTAAAGATAACGTTAAATATTGTATTAGGTATGTTCATGGAACAGTACAGACTGCTTCTGCAGTCTATTAATAAAAAACAAGTTTGTATATATCTATTAAAATTAGTAAATTAACTACTAAGTGCAATCGTTTGGTGTTTACTTCTTGTTGCAGTCGTCACCTCCCGGCGTATTCTGTAACAATGCTTCTTGGATACAGTATCCTGGAGGTGGAGGGCAAGTCAGAAGTGATGTCAGGCCACATCCAGGTTCTGCTGCGAATCTTCCACTCCTGCAAGCACACATAGTTACCCGTAATTATGACTGCATGGCTACCGCGCAACGTGTCGCGGGTTCGACTCCGGCACGGAACAGCTCTATGTGATCCACAAATTGTTTGTGTTTCGGGTCTGGGTGTGATGTGTATGTGAAATTGTATGTTTGTAAACGCACCCACGACATATTAAGAGAAAATCATAGTGTTGGGCAACGTTTTAAATAAAGACGATGTTGCTAAAAGACATCATATTTTTTTAAGCATCATTCTGTAACATCTTCCTGGAAAGAAGAAAGAAAGAAAGAAAGAAAGAAAGAAAGAAAGAAAGAAAGAAAGAAAGAAAGAAAGAAAGAAAGAAAGAAAGAAAGAAAGAAAGAAAGAAAGAAAGAAAGAAAGAAAGAAAGAAAGAAAGAAAGAAAGAAAGAAAGAAAGAAAGAAAGAAAGAAAGAAAGAAAGAAAGAAAGAAAGAAAGAAAGAAAGAAAGAAAGAAAGAAAGAAAGAAAGAAAGAAAGAAAGAAAGAAAGAAAGAAAGAAAGAAAGAAAGAAAGAAAGAAAGAAAGAAAGAAAGAAAGAAAGAAAGAAAGAAAGAAAGAAAGAAAGAAAGAAAGAAGAAAGAAAGAAAGAAAGAAAGAAAGAAAGAAAGAAAGAAAGAAAGAAAGAAAGAAAGAAAGAAAGAAAGAAAGAAAGAAAGAAAGAAAGAAAGAAAGAAAGAAGAAAATAAAGAATGTTGGACGTTTACTAACAACCCGTTCCTTCTCCAGTCGCGGTATAGCACAGTACATGTGATGCTCGCGCGTCCTAAGTATGAAGACCCATATAGTTTGCTATAGAAAACAATATTCTGATCACAGAAGAAAATATACCACGCACCAAAAAGAAAAAAAACTATGTCTTTACAGAAACTATGTCGAAAATATATTTTTTTTTGTTTTTTTTTTGGGAATTGGAAGCCTAACAGCAGACGGATCACCTGGTGGTAAGTGTATGTCATTAGGGCCGCCCATGAATGCTTGCAACACCAGAATAGTAACAGGTGCGTTACGGGCCTGTTAAAAAGGAGTACGCTCGCTTCTCCAAAGTTTGAAGAGCTTACTTAATTGAGGGGAATTATAAACAACTTTATTTCTAACTTACTGAGGTCCACAGGGCGGTATGTTTCCACACTTCAATGTCTGAATAATATTGTACACATCGCAGACTGTCAAATCCTCCTATAAAGATTTTTAATTCAATAACTTAATATTCAATAATTTTAATAATAACTTAATTATTAATTAATAATTATAACGAAAAATGTATTATTCAGCGTAAACGTAAACGAAAAACAGTTGAAAATGTAAGAGACTCTGGCCAAAAGTTCAAGAGGGTCACTCGATGTTAATCTTTTTCATTGAGGTAGGGTCAAAACTGCAGATTATTTTCATGAAATTAATAATATATATAATTATACCCTCATGGCTACTAATGCTCGGGCACCTGTCTGGAAGGGGGCCAGATTTAGCGGACGGCCAGTTCGGCTTCCGCAGAGGGCGCTCCACGGTGGACGCCATCATGCGCGCCTCACGACGGGGACTGCGTTGGCCAGGGGGCGAGTCGTCGTGGCGGTGTCTCTGGACATCGCCAACGCCTTCAATTCGTTGCCCTGGAGCTGCATTCTGGAGGCACTCCGGTATCCCGGTCACCGGGGCGTGTGGAATCGGCGAGAGGTGTCGCGCGGTGTCCCACAGGGATCGGTCCTGGGACCTCTCCTGTGGAACATCGGGTACGATTGGGTGCTACGCACCGACCCCCCAGCGGCGTCAGCATTGTCTGTTATGCTGACGACACGCTGGTGCTGGCGAACGGGAGGTCGCATCAGGCGGCGGCCGACCTGATGTCACAAGCGGTTGCGACAGTCGTTGCAAGGATCCGGCAGTTGGGACTCGAGGTGGCGCTCCACAAGTCCGAGGCCATGTGTTTCTATGGCCGTCGGAACGCGCCACCTCCAGGTGGGTCCCAAATAACGGCAGGAGGAGTTACCATCGGCGTCGAGTCGGCGATGAAATACCTGGGTCTCGTCCTCGACAGCCGATGGAACTTCACGGAGCATTTTCGTCGTTTGGCCCCTAAGTTGGAACGGTCTGGGGCCGCGCTCAAGCGGCTCCTTCCCAACCTCGGGGGGCCAAACGCCTACTGCCGGAGGTTGTATATGGGGATTGTGCGATCCATGGCCCTCTACGGTGCCCCTGTGTGGGCGCCGGACTTGAAGCGGCGGCCGGCTCGTACGCTGGTCGCGTCCCAGAGGGTCATGGCCATCCGAATAATCCGCGGATATCGCACGATCTCCGGGGAGGCGGCGAACCTCCTTGCCGGATCACCGCCGTGGGATCTAGAAGCAAAGGCGCTCGCGCGCGTCTACAGTTTGCGCGCAGACGCGCGTCGCCGGGGCAAAGATCCTCTGCCGCGCCAAATTAGTGCGTGGCGGAATGAGCTCCGGCGAGATCTCATGGCAGAGTGGAAACAACGACTGTCGCAACCGAGGGCCGGGCACGCTACTATAGCAGCGGTAAGACCCCTCTTTGAGGAGTGGCTTGAGAGATGCCACGGCGTCCTCACCTTCCGTCTGACGCAGGTGCTTACCGGGCACGGCAGCTTCGGTAGGTTCCTGTTTCGGATCCAGCGGGAGGAAACGCCCGAGTGTCGTCATTGTGAGGAGAGAGAGAGGATACGGTGGAGCATACGGTAGCGGTATGCCCTGCCTGGGCTGAGCACCGCCGTATCCTCAGGGAAGTGATCGGCGGCGGCGACCTCTCGCGCCCGGCCCTAGTCGAGACCATGGTGCGGAGTGAGAGGAACTGGGACGCCGTCTCCTCCTTTTGTGAAGCAGTCATGCTCGCAAAGAGAGAGGCGGCCCGCGTGAGGGAGCAATCCTCCTCCTCACGCCCCAGCAGCCGCAACTGGCGACACTACGGGCGTTGGGGATCGAGGGACGATCTCCGGCCACCGTAAGCACGGGCCTGCGGTCGGCGAGTAAGGGCAGCTCGCCGCCCGACCAGAACCGAGCGTACGGCGCGTAGCGTTCCGCGCGCGCCTCAAAGAGCCATTAGACCACCACAGATGGGGCCCTAAAGGTCTGATGTTCAGCCGGGGTTGCGGGGTAAGCGCAACGAGGCACCGCGACCTCGGCACAGAGCAGGAGAAGGAACAGGGGGGTTTTTAGTCAGTAAGAGTCTGACACTCTCTCCTGCCTGGCCCTGGGCGGGAGAAGTCAATTGCTGATTTACCCCCTCACAAAAAAAAATGGCTACTAATGCAATTCATTTTCGTTTCGTTTTGTATGCTTTATACTGATTTGACTGGATAGCTCGATGCATACAATTACAAAATAAGAACCGTCGTAAGATAGGCCAATATATACAGGGTGTAAAAAGAGACTTAACGAAGCTGAAAGCTACGTATTCTACCCATTAATTAGATCATTTTTTTCTTTTACACCATATCTGGGACTCCACGGGTTCTCGAAATATTGAAGGTCAAAGATGCATTTTTATTTTTTATTTTATTACGCAATCGAATTCTAAGTATTATTACAAAACTTTTTTCCAAACAAACATTACCTGATTTTTTCTAAATAAATTACGCATTTGAAGTTAAGAACAGTAATGTACGTAATAAATAAATGCAGACCCGCACAAAAAACATCGTGCATCTCAGTAGGATTTTTATTTTACAGAATTTTTTTGTTGTTGCGAAGTAAAACGTCGACCTACGTACTTATCACAGCGTTTTAATGCTAAGCTGTGAACCTACGCACACAATAACACGAAGCTCGTTTGCTTTAGATTGCGCGCAAAAATTTTTTTTTATTTATACCTAAAAATATAAGTCCCTTCCCAGTCATTATTTTAGCGTAAAACTACTTAGTTAGAACTGCAGTATGCGTGGTTAACGGCTTCGTTAAATGTCTTTTTACACCCTGTATATGTATGGCTAAGAAAACATAAAAAACACAGATGATCTACTTCAAAACTTACATAGTAATCATCATCGATAACTACGACGGGGGCATTAGCGCAAGCGCCCTGACACTCTACAAGGTCCACTCCAAACATTCTGTCTTCAGAAAGGCCACCCACAGGACAGCCGGTGGCGTCTACCACCGCTTGAAGTATTATGTCAGACCCACGCAACATACATGGCAAGGTCTTACAGACTTTCACGTTGAATTTGCCTCTATATGTCCTGTAAATAATGGTAATGTTATTTCAGTAAGTTTTTAAGAAATGTATGTAAAAATATTGATTATATAGTTTTAATTTTCCCCCCACTACCCTGTTTTGGTCAGGGGAAAATCTTCAAATCACCTTTCCTGTCCGGGAGCAGGCGAGAGAGAGTGTCAGACTCTTACTGACTAAAAATCTTCCCGTTCCTTCTCCTTCTCTGGGCCGAGTCCGCGGTGACTCATTCCGCTATCCTTAAATCACTTATAACGCACAATACACTTTTAGTAACTCGGCGACTTTGATTGCTTACCATCAAGCAATTCGTCTGGCCGTTTGCCGACCTAAATATTGCGATTGACCACGGATAGACAATCCCAACTTGCCAACTGACAGACCGCAAGCCTGCAAGAGTTTCCTCCATTTTTCGATTTTAGGGAGCCATAATCTCCCTAAAGAGGCATTTATAAAGAAAAATCATGAAGATAAACAAAACAATATCAACGATTCCTTAATAAAAGGATTCCGTTTGAGGATATTACATGAAGAGTATTCAGTATAAATACAAATCTAACGAGTTTTATTGAGATTCAGAGTAACCGTTCTTATTATTTAGTTGTTTATTTGTTTCAGATCTGTCTATCATTCGTTTATTTACTCACGACACAATATTGTTCTTGTTTTGCAGAATTTTAATATATATTATTTTTCATTATGGAATTTTATTTGAGAGTTGAGAGAATAACAAATAATTTGTCCACTTCTCAAGTAAGAAAGCTCGCAGTCCCGGGTTTAAAATAGCGTATGTATCACACCAGACTATAATCTACCTACGTGCTTAATATCATTAAAATCTGTTATTTTTGATTGAGGTACAAAACACGTAAACATAAATTCCTGTTAAAAATACATGTATTATGGCTAACCACATACCTTTTACACATAGTATAAAAAGTAGCCCATTCATAGACCCTCATTCTTGGCATGCTTAGAAGTTCCGCGACCTTGTGCATAGCCGATATTGGGATCCAGCCAATTTGTCTCTGGACGATGTCCATTGCCATAGAAATGGCGGACACTTGCGAACCTTCTGGATAATTCTGCACGATCGCTTGAATTCTCTGTAAAAAATATTGTTTTATATTTTGTGTAAAACTTTATTTTGTTGCGATTTATGTATATAATGAGACCTATTGGAATTACTTAATGCAATCTGACTTACACCTGGTATCTGAAAGGCTTGTCAAGGCTAAAATTAACTAATCTCCTGTTAAATCTCTTGTCAAGTCATCTGGTTGGTTGAATGAATTATCAATAACCAATCAGATGACTTGAAATTGATTTTAACATTGATCGGCCTTTCGCAAACCGGGTGATAGTGCAGCGGCAGAAAGTTTATTAGTAATTAAAAACAATCCAAGGTATGCATTTCCAGGCTTGCACCCAAACCTCCTTGCTTTGTAGTCATTTGCAATCCCTCAAAGTTGATCTTGTCAAGTTCACACGAAAAAAAATTACCTAATATTGAATACTAGCTACTCCTGCGCGGTTTTACTCGCTGCTCGGCTCCATTTGATTGTAGCGTGATTTTTTATAGCGTATAGCACTAGGGAACATCGTAGCTATTAATAAGTGAAAGAATTTTGGGAATCGGACCAGTAGTTCTAAAGATTACCCACCCCCTACATCCAAACTTACAAATTTGACATCTTTATAATATTAGTATAGATATCATGAAAACCAACAACTGATGGATTTCATGGAATAACAGACCAGTAACCATCAAATAAGCAATCCCCAATACCTACGGATTTCCGCAACACGGTAAAAGACAATCAGTTTCACTAGTCAGACTGTGAAATGAAACGTACGCGTTATTTCACGCTGTCTATAAAGACGTTGCCTCACTTTTGTTTGAGATGGCCAATTGTACCATAAAACATTACTCCAATCAATACTTAAAGTTGGGTGTCGCCTAAAGAACTGAACAAATTTAGAAATACCAAACCACACGTTCGTGATAAAGTGTAGAGGTACATTTTCAGATTTAATAGCTCTGCAACCACTGTATCAATTAATGGCATTTATAAAAAGATGATGAAAAACCCTTCCCATCCATGTTCTCCGCATCATTAGTGTAATTGGTTACAAAATGGCTGATAAATACTGAAAATTTTATAAAAAATTACATACTGAATCGGTGTAAACTTAATTATTGTTTGCTTCTATTCATCTTTAAAACTTGGCATTTTGATGTTTGTTTTTGTAAAATTTTAAAACCACAGTTACATTCAGTACACATTAAATAAAGTATTTTCGCAGCAGATATTTTTTTACAAATTATGCGTGTTTAACATAAATATAAAGCGAACATTGATAAGGTATGGAATACGTATAAATGACAAAGATTTATGATAATATTTTAACAGTTTTCTAAACCTTTTTAGTAAAGCCGAGGGTTTAAAATTGTGTGGGTGAATCCCTCATTAGATGGGATTCAAAATATAACTAGAATAAAGTGATTTTCGACTGTCGCGGATTATACTATTCATTGATATATTAGTTTTTGTGCTTTTTTCTATGTAGAACGTATAGGAAAACAAGGAACACAGCAGCTGCTGCCTTCGAACTTCTAAGACCTGACTCGTTGAACTCCGCACTATTTAATAGACTATCAAAACTTGAACTTAGCTCGTTTCGCTATTCTACATAACTTGAATACTCCAGTGTCGCTTAGAGACCCGTTTAATTTGCTAGAGATAAAAGTATAAAAGGACACATTATATGTCTGCACTTAAAAATTTTTGAATCAATAAGTTGTATGGAAATGTATTTATATCTTGGCCATCGATAACTAGGATTTTGTTACTATCAAATTGATCTCAAAGGAACCTTGAAAACTTAAAAATCCATAGAATAAGTAACAATTATTCTTTTATTATCAATACCTAAACAGAAATTAGTGATGCATTGATTGCTGACACAGTGACATATCGTTTCTAAAACAAAACATAACATCGTAAACTGTATTTAGATGAAAAATGTACGATAAAAAATTCACGTTTACAGCACCCAATAATATTCAACCGATACAACGATACGATCGCCCAACGAGAAAGTCCCTAACCAAACGTAATTAAAATAATTGGAACGACAAACTCATCGGTAGACTCCCCCTCACATATCTTTATAAAATGGCGGCTCAATTTTATAAATTGCCACTCAACATTAACGTCAAATAACACGTCATGTTAATGGCACACCATCAAGTCGACAGATCATTATAATTTAATTAAACAGTGATCGTTTCAATCTCAGCGGTTAATTAATCATCGTAATTTTAAGGATATGAGGTCATGCTTTAAGTATCGACATAAGGAACAATGGTCCTCGTATAATTTTACTATGTCACTGGTCGAATAGGAAATTGGCATAATAAACATGCTAGGCTTTTAACCGACATACCAACACGAAATATTTGGCATTTCGTTTCCACGTGCATCATAAGCTATAACACCTTTGAAATGACTTCAAAACAGCAGGGAATTTCTAATCAGCTATTGATTGTTTCTATTCATTTAGGTTTAGGTTACTTACAAAGCTCTGTCGTGGTTGTTCAAAAGAACCATGTTACATAGGCGCGATAGGTGGGGCAACATTTTTTTATTATAAAAAACAAACATTGATGCAACAACAACAACAACAATCGAAAAACCGTAGATGATAGCATCTTACGCAGTCCAGAACTTCGCACTGTTGACAGAGAGAGACATTGTTGCATAGAAAGCCGCTACTTTGCAGATTCGCTCGGTACTTCCTCGTGCGTACAGCACTTCTGTGCCAGGCACTGGGAGCTCATCTCATCTCTTGATTTAGGCTCCCTCCTAAAGTGACAGAACCATACTCGAGGGTACGACGCGTGACGTTCCACGTGCATTTCTTAGTTGCGACGTAGTTGGATACCCAACTCGGTGTAAGCGATTGCGCTTGTACCGCGCCCCAGCTCAGTGAGGGAAACTGAACGGGGTGGTTTTAGTCAATAAGAATCTGATATTTCCTCTCACCTCACTCTAGGTGGGAGAAGTCATTGGATGATTTCTTCCCTAAAAATTATGAAAAAACAGAATAGGGTAATATAGGAATTCCCCGGTTATGGCGGACGTGCAAGTCATACGTGTAGTTCTAAAACGTTCAAGCATGACGGGTTTTCATACGAATAAAATTGTTAATTACTGTACTGGGACTTTAAATTTTATTTGCTTAGTATTAAGATTATTTTTTCAATATTTTTAATAATTACTAAGTAGGTTATCACAATGACGAATTCAGAATATAATAAAGTGAACTAGTCTATCCATACATCTGATTTGACTTCAGTTTATTTGACAATAACTTTAACACGTTAACAATAAACCAAATTATTCACTGACAAATGAGTAATTGATAACAATTGTTGCGTTTTGTGTGTAAAATTATTCATATTACTTACTTAACTACATATTTGTTATGTGTGGTCAGTACAATTTTAGACCAGCGTCATTCAAAACCAGGATTAACGTCATTGTAATGACGTCATAATCCCGATTATATTGTTGAGTGATGTTAGCTATAAACGCTAAAAGGGTTAAACGTGCTTTAAGTACGTAGATATTATTATGAAAATCAATATTTTATAATATTTTTAATTTCAGTTGTATCAACACCATATGCGCAGAAAATAATAATATATATGTGTCAGCTGTTCTCGAAGAATTAACTTAGTATGATATAATTCAAGTAAATTGTATGTTTGGCATAATGACTGGTGGAAAGGCTTACTGTACTGTATAACGTATAAAGTTCAATCCCACTAGCCATCTATACCAGAAATTAAACCTCCTTTTTGGGTCATTCTTAACCTTTCAGCGACTTTGTTAGTGTGGAACTGTAACTTCCTGCAGATTTTTGACATAAAAACTATCCTATGTCCTTTTTCGAGTTCCAAACTATCTATGTACCACACAGAAATCGATTCAGTACTTTAGGCGTAAAGAAAGATAGACAGACAGAGTTACTTTCGCATTTATAATATTATAGTTTGGATTTTACGTCTAGGAAAATTTATATCTTACCTTCATATTAGCTTCGGTAAATTGAAATGGTATTTTTGCATTATTGTCTCGAGTGTCTCTATGCACCAGTAACATATCCGAAGCAAGGCGTGGAGTTGTATAAATTTGTTTCCGACATATGATCTGAAGGAATAAACATAAATATAGATTTGAATGAAGTGAAATTACTGCCCGGTTGGTGCAGCGGTGACCCGCGACACGCGCGCGACCGTTGCACGGACCGTGTCGCGGGTTCGATTCCAGCACGGAACAACACTTTGTGTGATCCACAAATTGTTGTTTTGGGTCTGGGTGTCAGGTGTATGTGACATTGTATGTTTGTAAACGCACCCACAACACAGGAGAAAATCCTAAAGAGGGGCAACGTTTTTTCTTTAAAAAAAAAGTAGTTTACGCGTTTTTTAATATAAGTCAACTTTCCATAGTCACTTTATTGTTTTAATGCTGTTCAAGTATAGACAGACTGCTTTCTTAGACAAGCTATCACTTAAACATCTTCATAACCTTAGTCAATTGCCAATGCAAGCACAATAATATGTAACGCGTTCCCGGCCGGGAGCAAGAGAAGAAACATGGTGGTTTTTTAGTCAATAAAACCCTGAAACTCCCTCTCGCTTCACCAGGGAGAAATCATTCGATGATTTCCACTATCTTTAAAAATAACCTCTTCATTAGGCACCAATCAAACACATCACCTCAAAATAAATGTTATTCAACTCGATCGTTATAGAATCTTTGTTTTTATTAACAAGTTCATATAATTATATCTCTTTGTGTAATAACTAAAATACAACTCCAGTTGTTAAAATTCACACACCAGCCCCTAAAAAACGCACGTTTCAAGAAAAATAAATCAAATTTTCGAATCACGAAGGCACGAAATATAAATCTTAAGAAAATTCTATTAATCTAATATCATCTCTAACTTTTACTATAAAAGCATTAAACAGACAGATACGTACACTTGATGGACTGCTTCTCAAATTTAAAATATTACGTACAAGCAAAGTCATTATAATAAAAATGAATTATTTTCGACAATTTTCTAAGAACGATGACTGATTCTTCTCTTTGACAATGACAGATAAAAATTGCTTCTCAGAAAAATCTTTGGTCATAAAGAATATATTTTATTTCTTTCCATTAGATACTTCTACCTTTTTGCTGAATATATCTGCGGTGTTATAGCAGTTTTATACAGAATTTATTTTGCCACTATCAACACACTAAACATACATAATAAAGAAGACCCAACTACCCTACTTTGCTTCTAAATCGCAGAGAAATTTAATAACTATTATCAGAATATACGTAAACGTTCCAACCATTACAGGGAACGATGTCACAAACTAATGTACGAAATATTCTAAATATTGCCCGCCCAAAATATTCGGGTAAGTTCGTAATGCCGCAAGAAAACATCGTGGAAAGTGATTCCAACAAACTAAAAGTTGTTACCAGCCACCCAATATTAACGGATATTGGAAAAAGATGGTAAAAGATGGCAGTTGCCGGATCAAGGCTAGTAGACACTAATATTCCCTGGATGCAATATCGGGGTTCATTGCCATAAAACCGCTCGAGGCGAATATCTTGGGTACGATATTGACCTTATAGCATTTCGCCGAGAAAGCAGATATCTGAGGCAATTTCAACATCGTAAATGATGTTTATCGTGGTAACCTAGTGACCCTGTCCCCCCCACCGGCCTCCACCTATGAACACTTGTCAAATGACAGTGTATCGCTTTCTGTACACGTATCGGTGGCACGTGTAACTAAGCTGTTCTGGTTGTGTTCCTATTCTGCGGAGGTAACACCGGCTCCGCTTATATCCGACTTTATACGTTTGAAAATACCATACGCCAAGTAACCAGAGAAGTGTAATTTTGTCACAATAAAAGACCTCTTTTAGCCTTAGCATTCTTATAAGTTGGATCTTATATCTTCTCCGTATTCCGCTTACGATTACAACTTCCTAATGTCATTAAACAGAAAACATTATTCAGAATCACAACATCAACTCATAAAGCTAAACCCTTCCAAATCCTCACCAAAAAAAAGTCCTACGGTAAATTTAATCATATTATTATCTTTCCAACATGAATAATATACCACACAAAACCAAATAGTAGATATAATAAACTCGCAAACATATACTCAGTGTCCCATAGCAAAGAACAAAGTATTAACAATTCAAAAACAGGAGTTTGAAACACAAATTAGTATCGCCGCAGACGGGTCTGAACACAGCAGACATTGTTCATTGTGAAAACATTCGTTTAAAATGGGACACGTATGTATGTACTCGAATGTGTACGTAGAGGGATTTTAATAATACTAATAGGTTTTAAAGAGGAGAATATATCTGTGATCATACCCATTTTGGAATTTGATATCTTTACTTATTACGTCGCCATTTTTGGTCAGTTTTATTGTGTTATTTACCTTACAGGAGTCTAAAAACAAAGATACAAGTTATTTGTGATTGCAAGAAACTCCTAAATCCAGTATCCAGGTACACTTCCAGTGGCAGGGATAACCATTCCATGTCAAGTTATATGGGACATTGCATGCCTTGCCTACAGTCTCTAGAGAAGAGGTATGTATGTATATATTCCAGACGTTGCAAAATCCATTGTTTAGACAGAAATATAGCCTCAAGGTATTGTAGGCTAGAACGTTGAATTCTCACATAATCTCAACTATCAAAATTTAATTAAATATTGACGCCCTCGTATACTAAAATAGTCAATAAGAGAATAATAATGTCAATACATCCCGTTAAATAAAAATAAACGTTCAAATTTCGACGTCAAATTTAATTTCTTGTTGACTGCGGTGGCGTTCGTTAGATTGGAACCGAATTTTCAATCGAGTGACAAAAATATTCGGCGCCATTTTTAAACGCAACCGGTGAGTCGGTGATTCGTTAACACGTCCTGCCTAACTTCTGAATCAAGAATATTCAAATGAGCGCTTCCTTAAAAAAGCTTTCGAACGTTTTTTTGCGGAATTGCAAATTCGAATTTCTGATTTTCGATTCGCGTCAAATGATCTTTTATTTTTTTTTCGCCGAATGAATTGATCAGATCACGTGGCTAAGTAGAGCTTGTATGCAGGATATGTCCTTTAATAATAAACTAAGATCTTAAGCTATGAATCTAATAACAGTCACGTGCAAAACGAACAAGGAAACAGAAAAGCCAGGAAGTGTGTCCATAAGGAATGTTTATTTAAAGAAAATTACATAACTAAGGCCCTCGCCACACTCAAAGACGGTCAGACCAAGAAGACATGTGCAAAAAGTAAATACATTAAAAACCTTTTTGGAGAGAAAGGAAAGTTTTGTATTTCCACAAGTATTTTCATTACCACTGACCGTCCGCGTCCGACAGATACCACTTTTTATGTCGAGTTAAAACGATAATTAGATTAGCTTTGACTTCAATGATAAATTAGGCTATCGTTCCATTGAAGGGGTACTAACACTTAGCAAAATTAATAATTCATAAATTAAAAGAAAATTTTTGAACCTTTTAAAAGATAATTAAGAAATCTTTTGACTTCTTCATTTCGTTTACATTAAGTGATTCTAGTTTGAATGAAGAAAAGCTAGATAAAAGTGGTGTCAAGTAATTTTTATTTACCTTCACTTAGACTAGAATATAATGTCAACATTTCTATGAAATGGGCATCAAATGAAATTTACCCACTGATTTGTGTTAAAGAAATTGTTGTTTTACTAATGGAAACGCAAATGATAAAAGTGATTCCTAGAAAACTAGGGGACAAAGGGAAGCTAATGGTTTGACTGTACTATAAAA